CCCCCCCCCCCCCCCCACTAAGTCCCGGGCACGCAGCTAGGGAAGGCAGCTCGGGGGACCTTGCTCTGGGGAATTTCCAGGGGAACTTTCTGCATCCTCGCAGCAGCCGCACCCGCACCCGCGGGTGGCTGGGCCCACTTAAAGCGTGAGAGGGCAGCTTGTGGCCTTCTGACTTCTTCGCTTCCATCCGCCTCCTCACTGGCCGAAGCGAAAACATCTGGAGAGCGAAAAGCTGCTCCTCTCTGGGGAAGGGCCCGGTCCTGTGGCACGCTGAGAGTCATAGGAGCCTTTCTGGCTACCCCCCCCCCCATGCACACCACCCTCGCAGGAGGCCTCCTTGAACCCAGCGGGCCTTCCTCCTGAGCAGGGATGCCTCGGGTTGCAGAGGCTCAGACTCGCTCAGAAGGAGCCAGCTTTGCAGAGAGGTTCGGGGGCTCCGTGTCCCAGTGCTGGAGAGCCAGGCTCTTGCATCCAGTTTTTCGGACCAGACTGGGGGAGCAGCGCGACTATCCCAACGCTTGTGCATCCGTGTTCTAAGCTCGCCCTGAATGTGGGGTACAACTAATCAGCCTGGGTGTTGGGAGCACACCAGGCACAAAGAAGGGCATTAGAGGAGCTGTTGAGCTTCCCTTTGGGGGCTGGTGAGGCGCCTTGGATGTTTGAAGCGTCCGCACTGAATGCTTCTGTCTTCTGGAAGGTTGCGTGCGGCTCAGCTGCAGATTCATTTGGCCAGTGCCTTCCTTTCAAAGCCAAGTGTCTCTCTTAAAAAATGGAAATCAAAGCATAACAAGAGGGCCTCTGAGCATGTACAGAATGTAGTATTCCTCACCACTGACTGCCCCAGGACTGCCTGCACAAATCTGAGAACAGCGGATGGGACTGGTTGGCTCAGCAAGGGTGCTTTCTGGCTAGGTTGAATCCTGACATTGCTCTCCGTCTCTCACTTGGAATTAAGGAATGTTATTTTTCATTTCAGCTTCCAATAGCTTGCTTGAGGTCACAAGCTTCAGAAACAAATCATGCAAGCCCCATGTGGAGCTTTTATGGGCTAGAAGAGGGGCGGGCAACTTGCAGGCAAAAACCTCCTACAGGACCAAGATAAACCTCTGCAGAAGTACAGCTGAAACCATTGGGAGAGGCAGCGTGGTGCAGTGGTGAAAGCGTTGGGCTGGGATTCAGAAGGTTTGGGTTCTAGTCCCCACTGGGCCATGTAGGTCACCAGGCAACTGAGGGCCAGTTGGTGGCTCAACTTAACCCACCTCTCCTGGCGATAAATGAGTAAGGAGGGTCATGCGAGCTGGCGATCTTGCAGTTGAAAAGGGGGGGGGGGGGGCGAACAGCACACAGGATGCGACCACGATCAGAACGGACCTCCGTGCTCGTCCCCAGCACCGGGGCCACGGATTTAGACCGCCTTGCCATGACATCTCAAAGGCTACTGCCCATTTCTTCCATTTACTCCTGGGTGTGAAGGCAAAGTCCCGCGCAGGGAGATGCAGTTGCTGCGAGTGTAAAATTGTGTGCTCGAGCAGCGAGCAGAAAGGGGTGCGCTGCTCCCCTTGGGGATCCTTGCCCCTTCAACCCGTCCTTTTGCACGCTCGTGCACGCACCCGCAGGCCGCCACCCTTCACTCCTCGCAGCCCCGATCCAAGCGCACGCGGTTGCAAGGCTCCCTGTGCGTTTACTTTGCGCACGGTGTGACCCTTGGAGGCTTTGAGTCTTGCTTTTCGTGTGCACGCAGCTCCTGCGAACTGAGGAAAGAGGCTCCCTTTATCAGGTAACGGGCATGAACGTTTGCTGCTTCCACAGAACGCTTCATCATCTGGAACTCTAGAAGGGTAAACTAAGAGTAGACATCTCCATCGGCAGAAATTAGGGTTCTCTGCATTTCCCCCTCTTGGTTTGCGCATGCGTTGCTGACGTATTGCAGCCTAGGGTGGGGTGGGGCATGGCTCTGGCATGACAACTCCCATCTGCCCCAGCCAGCATTGCCCAGTGGTGGCCAGGGATTATGGGAACCATGTTCCCGGACTTCCAGAGGATGCGCCGCTGTATTCTATCCTTCTGGGCATGGCTCTGTTTTAGGGATCGGCGGTGTCTGAATTGTGCCATTTGGGGCTGCATTTGGGGCATAGCTGAATCTTCCCTGGGAGGTCAGAGGAAAGTCTGCCCTTTCTCCTGACATGTCTTCTGCTCTGCAAAACTGAGCTTGCATGCACGGGCCAGATCGTGCCTGGATGCGAGCAGGCACGGAAACCCCCCTAGCGCTGCGTCTTGGCTCACCACCCCGTCCCCGGTTCCCTGTTCCAAACTGCAGCCCTGCTTGGCGGGGTCATGCGCAGGGAGTGACAGAGGCATAATCCCCACCCTTCCGCAGTCTGGTCCTTTAATTGGATTTTCTCGGACAGACACCGGGTCTCCTACAGGCCTGGAGCGATGCGATTTCAGATCAAACGGGAACCTTGGGGGCACTTAGCAAGACAAAGAGGGCATCTTGTACCTGGAGCCAGAGGCCCACGCCTGGGGAGATGTCTCTCACCTTGGCTTTCCCCCACCCCCCACTGTGTTCCCTAACCTTATCTCGGCTACCTTTAACCAAGGAATCCTTCCTTCCCTGCAGTAACATTCCCTCCTTCTCCACCCCGCGTATGTGCGGTTCACTCTGCTTTCCTCCTCCCTAGATGTGAGCGGAGCCGGAGAAGAGAATCCCGGAGCTGGTGGCTGGAGCTGCGTGGGAGAGACCGGGAGAGCGAGGCGCGCATTCCTGCGACAGATACATTCCGGATCGCCCCCCGAGCTGCTCCGGCTGAACCCGGCCGGAGCTGCGCGCCCCATCCTGCCTGCGCTGGCTTGTTTCTTCTGGAGCGACGCTCCCCAGAGCATTCGGCTCTTCGGACGGATCGGGAGATAATTTGCGCCCTTGGCCAGGTCGCGCTTTCAGGCCCGGCCTGCGCCTACAGAGATGTACCCAAGTTTAGCCATGACGGCCAACCATGGTGCCCCGGCCTATGAAGGGACCGGAGGCTTCATGCCCGGGACAGCCGCCACTTCCGTCTACATCCCCACCACGAGGGTCCCCACCATGATCTCCAACTTGACCTACCTCCAAGGGAACAGCTCGTCCCAGCAAGGTAGCCCGGTCTCCAGCCACTCCATCTGGACTCAGCCCGGGGCCGAGAGCGTTGCCTACAACCCGGGGACCTCGCACCCCTCCGTGTCCCCGCGCTTCCCCTTCGCCACCTCCAGCCCGATCCCCGCCACCCCGTCCAGGGAGGCGGCTGCCTACAGCGGCTCGCTCAGCAGGGAGCCCTACGCCGCCCGAAGCTTTAGCGGGTCCTATTCGGGTCCCTACCCGGCGACCTATATGAGCCCGGAGTTAGGCACGACCTGGACTTCGGCGCCCTTCGACAGTTCCGTGCTCCACAACCTCCCGAACCGGGGCAACCCCGCAGCTGCAAGACACACCAACCTTGGTAAGCAGTCTTTGTTCGTAGGCCATAGGGACATCCTAAGCCAGCCGCTCAGTCCTCTGCATTTTTAGCAACTCCTGGCACTCTCCAGCCAGCACAGAATGCTGGGAGTTCGAGTACTTTGCTTTTTTCTGCCTAAATGCGCCTAGAACTGGGTCCTAATTAGGTTTGAATTGCCAGATGGCCGGATGCATCCTGCCTTGGTTTTGTTTGTTTGTTTTGGAACGATTCTAAACAATGAATTAATCAACTTGCCTTGCAGCACCTTAAAAATAACACATTTATTCTGGTCCAAGTTTGTGTGAATGGTCTGATCTCCCCTCCGAGCTGAGACAAGCTCCAGACCTGCTTAGCTTCAACATGGCGGGTGCCTCATGTGCCTTCAGACCATACTCTGGGCTGCAACAGACTCAAGTGAAATTGGAAAAATGTATCTTCCATTTCTGTCTAGCTTCAGTGCTGTTGATGGCTTTGGAACCTCAAGCAATTGAGGTGGTGCTTGTTCTTTGCTTGGGTGTGAGTTAGTTTTACACATATTAATAAGCTACGGGTTCCTCAAGGTATCTGACTTTCTGTTAGTTTCTTCAACCAATTGGAAGACCTGGGATATTGGTCCTTGTCCTTAATTTTAAAGTACAATTTTAAAAGCTGTGAGAATATATGAACAAACAAGTTCAAAACGATCATCCCTAGTGAAGGAGCTGCATTTTAAAAAGTGCAAATCATATTGATTTGGAATTGTTCATCAAGTCGTCTCTGACTGATGAATAATTTTAATAATTGCCTCCATAACCATCTAATTGCACGATTGTCTCCTTACTTATTTAATGGTTTGCTGTATTTATTATTAATACCAATTTACTGCTTCAGGGAGCTACTTTCCCTTGGCAGCTGCTTCTACCACTGTCGCAAAATTCAGGCAAACTTTCCACTAAGTCTAGATTATGGATGAGAAGGTAAAGCTGAGATTTAAATTTATTATTTCATGCAGCTTGAAACAAGGTAGAAATAGTCACGCCTTTGAAATCTTATCACAATAATGTTGTGATGATAATATTGTCATCACAATATTAATCTGCAAATAAAGGTCTGTGTTTGTTTGTAATTGTAACTTCAAAGTTTTAGTTCTCATACTTTTTATTAAGCTCTGGTTTGAATTCCCAAATATTTTATCAGCAGTATAAATGCCACTGCGTCGTTCCAGGAAAAAAAAACAAGTTTCTGGGAATTTTATTTTAGGATTGATTATTTTGATTGGGGAAATTTAGATATTATTTTTAAAAAACCATGTAGTTTTGGGGTCCCTTTCCAACATGCTGTGGGTACAAAATTAACCAATGGCTGTTGTCAGAAAGGTTACGTGATCCACTGGATTACAGCTCAGCTGACAACAAGTTAAAATTTGATTAGTTAGCAGCTGTCTGGCTTTTAACAGTTCAGCCTCTGCAATGTTTAGAGAGAAACCGGCTGATGAATGCGGCAGTTGTAGGACATTTTCTGTCTAAACTTGCATATGATTGCAGCTTAACTAACCAGTTGAGGAGCAAAACACAGCTTTTATGTACTGCCTTAAAACACTTCTTATAGATAATCTTTTTGATGCCAAAGCTTCGAAGATTGGACTGTATTACACTGACACTTTATGGGTTGATAAATTCCTGCTCTGCGAGGCAACTGAGATCAGTTGCAGTGCCTGGAATCTTTCCCCGGGGATTGGGTCTTTAGCCATGATTTTAAATATTCCAGTTTGTTACCCGAAAGAGTGAGTTTTGCATGCATTCAGTTCTCCCGGCATCTCTTGTCCTGCCCTTGCTAAAATGAACGAGGCTTGTGCAAAAAGCAAAGATCCAATTCTCTTGAGAACCGTTTCCAGTTTCGTTCTTACAATTCTCCTGGGCATCGAAGCACTTGGCTTTCCTGTGATTGAGACTTGAGTTAAGTCAGTTTTTAAAGTGACACTTGCAAATTCAAACAGAAAAAAATCCGGATGGAAAAAAAGAAATATTGGAGCTGAGGGAGAGAGACTGGAAAGATTTTAGATTAATTCCCTGGTCATGTGTGCTGGAAGTTATCCCTGTTTGGTTTCATTTCAAGTCACGAGAGGGTTGGTGAATGATTTTGCATAGATTTTGCACTGGTTCTGGTTTGATTACAGTTTTTTGGGGCACTGTAAATAAATGATCTGCTTTGTTCTGACTTAGCAAACAAGAGCATTAAATTCTACGCAAGGAGAGCTAGCTAGCATTGTGATATAGTGCATTTGCAACCTGTTACAAGTTTTGTGCCTTTTATCTTTGATTCAGCACTTCCGAATCTGTCGAGATGTGCAGCAGCACATAAAGGTTTATACAATTAATTAATTCGTTAATTTTGCCAATAAAGGACCTCAAGAGATGCACGGCCATTCCCCATTGCCGTTTTCGGCAAAAGTGGGAGCTAAGCAATACGAGAGCTACAATAAGCCTGTTTTCTTTAGTACAGCTTAATTAAACCAGACACTCTTTCTTGGCCTGGCTCGCAGCTTAGCAGCCCTTCAGAATGACAGAAGCGCAGATAACTGTGTAAGCTAAGAATGAAAAATGAAATCCTCTCCGATGTTAATTTTAAATGCTTGGAACTCTTGTTCGTTGGAGGCCAGTGAATGGATTGCTGTGTGCTCTGTTTTGTTTTTAAGGGATGGCCTTAATTGGAACCAATAAACTGAATTTGTTTTAGGGTGCAGGTTTTCCACAGAGCCTTCACACCAGCTGTGGTGTTTTGGAGCATCGGTCTGTGCCCTGACCTGTTCATGTGGGGATATCAATGGGAACGTCTATATATTGAAGCCACCCTTCCTCAAACTGGCTCTCTCCAGATGTTTTTGACCTCAGTTCCCATCAGCCCCAGCTAGCATGGCCAACAGGCAGTACACGGCCGGAGGGCTCCTGGTTGGAGAATGCTGATTTAGGCTCCAGTCTTGCTCTGTACCTGTCTGATTTGAACTTGGTGAGATTTATTTCTGTATAAACACACCCAGACTTGAGCCGTTGGCTTGATTTTTTGCCTACCCTTCCTCTGAGGAGCCCAAGATAGCAAGCAGGGTGTGTGCACCAGCTTTTTTTTTTTATCACCACAACAACCCTGCAGGGTAGGTTAGCCCGAGAGAGAGAAGGAATTGGGACCAAGATCACACGGTGTGCTTTACAGCATCTCTGCAGCCTTGCTCTTACCACTAGATCACACTGCCCCTTTCAAAGTGGTTCACATGAGCTTTTCCAGCTCTGCTTTTCCTGTCTCCATTGGCCTCCGCATTTTCTCCCATTGGATTGGGAACGGGGAGGGGAAATTTACAGAGAGATTGCGGGAGATGTCTCCTTTGGATGTTAAAATAAGACTGCTCCCGTTTTTACACAACTACCTTCCCCCATTTATTTATTTCAAATATTTTTAGTCTGCTTTTACAGGAAAGAAAGAAAACTAGTGTGAAAGTTACTTGGGACTTATTTGCTCTATTGATTTCCATGGGTCTGGCTGGCTCCACCCCATGGAATCTCGGTGCTTCTTTCTTAACAGAAAAAAAAATGCATTTAAGTGGAAAAAAGTGCCATGAATGTACAAAACTTTTTGCATGGCGGCACCAGAAACCCACCGATGGGAAGTGCTCTGGATAAGTTTAGAACCGATTGGATGAAAGATAATTCAAGGCACAATCCTATGCTTATTCAGACCAAGAAATACCTGCAGCTCCCAGCGGATCCAGCCAGCTCTGCCTTTTTTCTGTCTAAATAGGTACAGGATTGCACCTTCCAACATGCAGGAATGTCTCGCTAAAGCAAAAATGCATTTAATGGTCCTTTAATGGCTGATACTTTGTACTCTGGAGACAGATTTCTGAGTATTTGGGTGCATGTCCACTATTCATGCAAAGTCTCTCTCTCTCTCTGTGTGTGTGTGTGTGTGTGTGTGCGCGCGCGCGCATGCTTGCACTTTCTTGTTGTGTTGGTGTCCCCACCAAGCAGGCCTCCCCCCCCCCCAACCCCACCACCCCAGTTTCAGATCCTGGGGAGGGGAGATGTGCAGGTGAGCCTGGGCAGGCGGACACGGTAGAGGGTTGTCCGTTGGGTCCCTCTGCCCCAAACGGAGGCAGTGTAGTGTAGTGGTTAGTGCGCAGGATTGTGACTTGGGAAATCGGGCCTCTAGTCCCTCCCTGCCAGGCTGTGTAGCTCAGTCAGTCACTGACGGTTTAACCTACTTCGCAGGGTGGTTGTTGTCAGAATGAAATGGAGAGGAGGGTGCACCATGCAACTTGCAAAACAAGAAAAAGGACAGGATTTGTTGTTAAAAAAGTAATAATAATGACTAGCAATGAATTTTATGGTTTCTGTGTTTTTTTGTTCTTGGTAAGCCGTCCAGAGACTTTAAATAATGGGATGGCATAGAAAACCTTAAATAAATAAATTTTGATAACACTTATTATTATTGTTAAGCTAGCATACTCGGAATATTTTCTGCCTAAATATCAACTTTTACCCAAAATATCTAAATGCATTCAGAGGATACATATCTCAAATCTCATATTAGAAAACTGTACTGTCCTAATTTAATTTAATTTAATTTCGGTTTTGGTTTTGATTTTGAAATTCACAGTGAAAATTAATAGAAAAATATCATTATTCAATACATTCGTATTAATAGCAATTGTAATAATCGAATAATTAGAATAACCACCATAAAACAATTTAGAACTTTAGCTGGTAATAAGGGAGGCGCTTTAACGGAGCCTGCTAGCAATGAACTGGGCAACTCGAGTTTGGCCCAGTGGGGTTCAAATAAGGTTTGCATTTGTTTCAGTACTAATGGGGGAAGAGTTAATTTGACTCTTAATTAGTCGAGAGTGGATTAGACTTCCCAGAACTGTAACTTTGCACTTTACAAAGGTCAGGTTTCCAGGCACGCCCGTCAGGGTCACTTGTGTGCACACGGAGCGACGTGCGGGTGCGAACACACACGCACACATTCAGGCA